AAAGTCAATGTATCGAACAAGTCCCTGGCTTCAGTCAACTGCTGGTTATTAGTCTTCTTCTTCTCCCTCCCCCCCCAACTCGGCATGGATCTTTTCAAGTCTCTCCTTGAGGCGTCTGCAGTTTGTGATTTTGAGACTTTTTACAGACACTCTGCAGATTTATGTGTAATTCTCTCACAAAGGAAACAGTAAGTCTCTTACTTTTTTTATATGTATGACAACTTACAACTGGTAGAAAGTTAAGTACTTTTTCTGACCAGATTTTTCTTTAAGACTGTGACTCTTAACACACCATCCCCCCGAGAGCCAAACATACTCACCCCCTTTTCAACGCCCTCCCCCAGCAGCTCAGGTGTGAAACCCCCATACAGAATGTCAGTCCCTGTGTAAAACTTTTTAGTGACACTCTGCAGATTTGTCTGTAATTCTCTCACAAAAGGAACTGTAAGATACACTTTTTATGTATGCAAAACCTTAAACATTTTCTGAAAATAAAATACTTTTATCTGAATACATTTTCTTTAGAGGCACTTTTTTGATTTTAACGCTATTTCAATGGAGCAATCCAGTTTTGTTGACATCAATGCTTTATTCTCTTTTCTTGTGTTACTAAGATACTTTTAGTTACACTTTAATGAATGCAAACCTTTTTAACCGGGTAAAATATTCATTAATTTGTAAGGAATTCGTTTTCTTTATGTTTGTGATTTTAACACTGTTTCGATGAAACACAGCAGTCTTGATAACTTGACATGACTAACATTACTTTTCTAAAATATATGTTTTTTAGAAGCGTTACTTTGATTTCAAGGCTGTGATGGCGAGAGTTTAACAGTCAATTGCATCAAGATGGTGCTCAAGAAGGACATTGTCACCACCAATGGTGTCATCCACCTTATTGATCAAGTGCTCATGCCAGCCAGACTCAGGTTAGACTTGCACATTTTCCCCTTATTAATGATTACCCGATTTACTACATTAATACATATATTGTTTTTCTGTAATCCATATTTTTAATGGTGTTTAAATTCCCTTTGTGCCTCAAGCTAAACAGGTGATGGAACTGGTTGGAAGTTCCCAGTCAACCTTTGGAGACATGGTGTCTGAGCTAGGCCTTTCTGCTTCCATGCAATCTGCCGCTGAGTACACTTTGCTTGCCCCCCTCAACACTGTCTTCAATGGTGAGTAACATACTGGTGATTCAATAAAGCACGCCCCTATTTAGTTGGTGGCTGAAGACAAAGCCTGGGTCCATTCTCTAGACTCTATTCTAGTCACATTCTGGAATAATTGGTGATATTTAGATTTGTTTTGTATTTACCCCTCATGTGCTGAGTCATTAGTCAATATGTGTAAATGTATGGAGCTTTAGGGAAACTATACATTTATTGGCACACTGCAGAAGCTTTATGCCATGTAACAGCAAGTGTCCACTCCCCCCGAGAACATTCCTGGACTTCACCCAAAGGGAGTAGAGATGATTTGTTTTTGCATTAAGAACGACAGAGAAAATTTCTCTTTTAAATGGTTTTAAATGGGTCCCAAAAAGTTTCCCAATGACCCGGAATAGTACTGCCAGAACGAACGATATCCAAAATGTCTAACTACTAATTATTGTCGTCTTTCTTGAAACTGACGTGCTGTCCGTTTTACAAAACAAGTTATGTTTTCTGCTTCTTCATCCTCTGAATTTTCCTCCCCCGTCCCTCTTCCTTCACCCCTCACAACAACAAATCAAGGTGGATCTGTGAAATGAAACACCTCTTCCCAAAGCGTGACTTCCCTATTGAGGGCAGTAGGGTCTAAATCGATTGACCAGATATACTAACATGCAGAACGTACGGTATGTTTGAAAAAAGACTAACCATTTATCCAGTTCAAGCTGTCTTTAAGATGTGACATCGCGCACTGACTATTTCCCGTAAAATCGTGACAAACTATTACTTATTCTTAAATTTGATCTCTTGCTGCATGGTTGAAAATGATAGATGAAAAATAACTTTTTTTAAAAGAGTCAAGTTTTTCAAGATCAGATACAGGTCAAGAAAATGCATAGAGGATGTATGGTGCTGGCTCATTAGCCCTCTCACTCTTCTTAGAATGATCCTGTGCAATTATAGTTAATACAAGTAATTACACATTAGTTCACAAATCCATACAACTAAAAGAGAATATCCTTAGGTATCACTATTAAAACCTAAATAAGATCTTTTGAAAATAACCTCTTTGCAAAACAGATACTTCTTTAGCAGTTTCACAACAACTTGAAAAGAAACATCCTTAGCCAGCACACACCATTTAAAACAAACCCTGAATCAAATCTAGAGAGGACAATAACGTTTTTAGATGTCTTGGTGAGTGAAAATTAATGGCTGTTTTTATTTAATTTGAGTTTATTTCTTTTTAGGTTGTAGAAATGCAATTCATTCGCTATATAGTTGAATGCATAACCCCAAACATCACCAGTTTCCAGAGTCCATTCTCCCTGAAGTTCATCGGTTGGAGGCGTTTGGAGACGGAACTTCCGCTGGAGGGGGCGGGGCTTATACCGGAAGTGGGCGGGACTTCTGGTGGAAGGGGGCGGGACTTAGAGGTGTGACCTGTCACTTTCTATGCATACTAATGAGATTGAAGTGGCATGTGTATAACTACTGATGGAGTTGGCTTCTAGTGGTGCAGTGACACGTCCTAAAACCCTTTTATAATCTATCGATTAGATTTATGATTCGAAAATTATAAAACTAGGGTAGACATGTGGAGATTATCCGGCTGAACAAAACGTGCATTTATCAAACAGGTTTGTTTTCCACAGACCTTATTTCCAGCTAGGCTATTTTCCAAAACCCTGTGGAGAAATCCCATTGCTTTTTGTCGAGGGAACCAGCAGCTTACTTCCTGGTTTTAGGATGCGTCACTGCACCTCTCAATATGATGCCATTATAAACAAGGTCTTCTGTGGCTCTGTACATCAATGCTGACCTATGCTGACAAGTAAGTGAAGAGTAGAAAATATAAAGGTATTGGCTATAGGGAAATGTCCCAGCAGTTTAGGATAATGAAGGTTCTAATCAAATCAATTACATAGCCATTACATGTCTAACTCCTAATGACAGGAAGGCAGAAAGCGCATTATACAAATAATAATACTCATAATAATAGCAGATTTTTTTTAACAATGACCACAATATCATTATTTTAATAAACCAAATATGAACAATTGAGGAAAATGAGGAAGAACTGATGATTCAAATGTTGTAGTACTAGTAGTAATGTAGTTAGTGCATGAATTACTATTGCAACAAATGTGTTAATTTTCTTCATTTATAGTCGATTTTTTTTTTTGACGAATGCTCCGGGCCAGTGGTTACAATGGTGGGGCAAGTGATAATACAATCCCACCGGCCCAGGGGGCCAGTGGCATTTTACCCTTAATGTCTACCTCTGCGGTAAGTCACTAGCCCCCCCCCCCCCTGTCGACAATTTACTAGCGGTATTTACTTGCGGTACCACGGTGGGCCGGCGGTACCGAAGTGGGCCGGTCGAGAGTCCCGGGCTGATTTGTAATCTCAGTCCGCCCCTGGTTAGAGCGATGAGAATATTCGCATCGTGTCCGTTGTGAACGCAGCATAATGCAGTTCAAAAACCACTGTTCTGACGCTTTTAAAGCAACTTCGAGATTTTAACAGTGTCAGGCCATGGTGGCCGTAGGGCGTACTTATTTTTCGTTCACGGCCAGACCGAGGGGCCATGACGGCATGGCCATCATGGCCACGGGGAAAATCCTACCCTGGTAACAGCCCACCACCATGACCTGTTGACCCTTTGCCACTTCAATATTCAAGGCTAAAAATTCGAGTTGCTTGCTAATTGATTTGGAAACCAATGTGGTTACACAAAACATATTCTTCACATAAATGGCAACGCCAGCACCTTTATTAGGTCGGTCGGTACGATATACATTGTAACCATTTAAGGAGATGTCAGATGCCGAAATAGATTTATTTATCCACGTCTCTGATAAAACAATGACATCAGCGTCAGTCGAGCTTGCCCAAAAGCGGTTGAGGGAATATGATACAACCTTGAGAACAAAATACTGTGGTACAGTGCAGTCACTACTGAAACACTGGATGTTTTGTAAAAAATTAAGTAGCCTATATTGAGTTGTCAACTAAAATGATATGATACTGATTGGTTTAATGTATGTTCAATTTCAACAATCATCAACTCTGGAATCAATATGATCAGTATTATGCATTTTACAAAGAAAGTTTGCATTAAGATTTTTATAAATTGAACTTTGAAATTTGATTAAAAATGCACTTTTACTGATTTAATTGTGAAAACCCTCAAGAAATATTTGTTAAAATACTATTTAGAGAAGGGAAGGTAAAACAATCTTAACAGGTTAATATAATACTTTATTACTACAGTGTATGTACTATGTTTCGGTAGTGAACATTTTTGGTAGAGGAAGAAAATTCTAATACAGTCTGAAAATATGATATACAATGTACGGTTATTTTACTAGATATGTGTATTTTAGATATGGTACAAAATATATATGAACAAAGTTTTGGGAAAAAAACATACAACATTTCAAAACATTTCCAACCTGACTTTGCATCAATTCAGTAGAATGGCCCATATAGTAGCATGAAATAGGAATAAAGTCAAAAAGTATAGTACAAGTACATACAAATTGTACTTAAGTACAGTACTTCATTAAATATACTTAGCCGCTATTAGCATAACACACGTGAAACTCAAATCAAACTGACATGGAAAGAAAAATAACTGCACAGAAAATCTAATTACTGTATTAGTGTTAGTTTAGTTTTCTTCCGGCTGTAAGCGGCTCTTCCCCTTGTGCATTGCAATTTTGGAATAGTGTTACTCAACAGAACAATCATTCATTTGTCTAAATACTGTCAGCACAGCTTGGGGGTTTATTGCCTGCACTATAAAAAGGAAATGAAAAGACAAGTGAGACATTAAGTGGTTGATTAAGTTGATTTATTGACAGTTAAAAGGCTCCAGGTCTTCAGTACTGCAGCATTGTCTGGAAGATTGAAAAGAAAGTGAGATCGCACCTGGATAAAGCAATCGAAGAACTGCAGGAGTGTTACCGTTACACAGGAACTAGATTACGTTTGCTAATGATTATTTTGGACGTGTCTCCCCCAATATATTATAATTACGGTCTTGATATTTTGTACATTGTGTATAAACTGGTGTGTCACTTTTTCTCTAAACTTAAGTCATTTAGGATCTTAAGACATGTCTGGAGCTCCCTTTATTTATTAATAGATTGTGAATACTTTGCACACCTGCATTATGTACAATATATAGAATCCTTTGTTAATATTGTATCCGTAGGTTGGTGTATTGTAGCGTATAAATTCATCTTTATATTTTATATTGGGAGGCTGTGGCTCAGTGAATAGTGTGCTGGACGTGGAATCAGGGGGTAGCAAGTTCGAGTTCCACTGCAGTCAGCATGTCGTTGTGTCCCTGGGCAAGACACTTCACCCCAAATTGCTCCTGTGAGGATTGTCCACAGTACTGAATAGGCGCATTCACACTGCGGTACTTTTCCCACAAAGGTTCATGTGAACTTAGTTCATGTGAACTCTTTAGTTCGCATGAACTAAGTACAGATCGCGTTCACACTGGAAAAAGTCCCCGGGGGTGGATTAGGCAAATTAAGCCGCTGACGTCACTTGTTCTTCTTCTGCTTTGGGTTTACTGGCAGGCCGCAAACCACTTCATGGCGTATACTGCCACCCAAAGTCCCCGGCCGGAAGTCGCCGGAGTTGGGGACTGGCTTCAGTAGAAGCTGCTGGGAGTCCCAGCAGCTTCTACTGAAGCCTTCCGAGTAAATCGCCAGAACGCCGACACCTCCTCATCTCCACCGCTCCCATGTTTTATTTTGTGTTGCCATAAATTAGTCTCTCTGCGTTTCTGCGCTGGGCTAATGCTAATGCTAATAATGCTAATGCGAGGATAATAAAATGGTGGCTTCATAAAACTTTTTGGGAGTTTTACGGGGCGTGGTTTGCAATCCGCCCAGCCAATCAGAAATATAGCTCTTTTCTCACAAGAGAGCCGCACGAAAGTCCCTGCTCTCTAGCGATAAAAGAGTTCACATGAACTAAGTTCACATGAACCTTTGTGGGAAAAGTACCGCAGTGTGAATGCGCCTAATGTATGTAAATTGCTTTGGATAAAAGCGTCTAACAAGTGAGTAATGTAATGTAATATTGTGTGTTCCACATATGCTCTATAATATGAATCTTTCTACCGTCAATATTTATATATTTACACGTTTTTATTATGCGTTTTAATTATTTGTTCTACTCATGCAAGCCCCCTGCTGCAACTACATTTACAAAGTAACAAATATTATATGTAATCTAATATAATATTATCTAACATTTGTTACATTTTGGACTATGACTCAAATATGTTGAATTGATCTCTCCAGTAGAGATCCAAAAACAGTATTGCTTTTCATGAGGTTCATGGTGTCCCAACACTTTTGAACACTCTTTATGTTGCTTTCTCATTAATTTGTCAAATGTGTGTGAAGAATACTTACGTCACTGATCCACTTGGTGAAGGAAGAGGTGTGAGTGAACACCGTGGGCTTCATGAGGGTGTTGCATCCTCGAGAGGAGACGAAGCTGGTCACTCCCTGCACGTACCACCGGCCGTCCCTGCCCCTGCAGTTCAGAGGGTCTGAGTCTCCCTGCAGTCTGTAACATGTTGTGATGAAGGGGGCGGTGCATACATGGCAGCCAGAGTGGATGTCACCGCCACCGCAGATCATGGTCGTCTTTACGGTGCCCCCCCACCAGCCGCTGCTGCTGCACACGCTGTGGCCGACCATAGGGAGCAGAGCCTGCTGGAGCTTAGAGGCCAGGGGACTCCCACCTGCAGGAGGAAATACAAAGTTAAAAACCAAGAGCATCGCCAGGTCACAACTGCTTGAATAGTAGGGATGGGAATTTGAAAGCAAATGTATATTCGAATATTCGACCCCCCCAAAAAACTGTTAACCGGTTAACCGAAATGTACATATCCTATAAAAAAAAATTGGGTAAACATTTTTTTTTCAGAGTTTTTTTTTCAATAATTTTTTAGAAATACATGTTCAAATAAGTATAGAAACCAAGTCGAATTTGTCAAATGTATTGAACTGGTGATCACAGTTTGACAGCTATAGGTCTACACTCAGCTTTCATGTGTGGAGGCGATTCACAATCAGGCCAGCTATAGAGAAGACCCTCTCAGCTGGAACGGAGGCTGCGGGTATAGCAAGGTATAGCATGTATATAAGTTTAATTTTGCATAGTTTGACCTCTACACCGCACTCACTAACCTGGTCGAAATATTTCCACACATTACTCCTTTTTGACGCCATGTCTGTTGTGTAGGACTCTTCTTAGAGTGTAAATAATTACCGGACTATGACTGGTAAAATATGTTGAATAGCGGCAAAACTAAATCTCTCCTGTCAACATATCTATGCACTTTGCCACCACACACAGTTGCCAAGCAGCGCTTATTGTTGTTTAGGCTGGCCACTCATGTGTAGGGTTGGGAACCGAAACTCGGTTCCAGATGAGAACCGATAAGAAAATGCCGGGTACCGGGTACCCGTACAAAATACACCTTTTCGGTTCTGCTTAACGGTTCCTAAACGCGGTAGACCCTGTATTCCAGCGGGTCCGTCTGTACCGCGGCGACCCGGTGGAATACAGGGCGGACCTGGAGAATCACAGAACGGCCGGTCGTCAGCGGGCCGTTGACGGCCGGCTCGGTACGCTGATGGCCGGCACCGCCCTTAATTTTTTTAAACGGCATCATGTAAGTTGCGCTGACAGGCGACAGAGGTCCACAGTTGCCCCGCAGCGAGGCTCCCCCCGCCCTGCCGTAGACAGTTCACGAGCTCAGTCACTTCATAACACCAAGGATGGGTCGCGGTAAACGCTCTGAAGTGAGGCTCCACTACACTAAAAAATAAAAAGACAATTGGGCACAGTGTTAATAGCTTGCCACAGGCATAGCTCAGTTAAAATAAAGCACAGCTATTGTGCAATACATTTGTATTGCATGTATATTTTTTATTTGTAACAATTTCAGTTAAAGCTGAAAAGAATAAAGATATTTTTATTATCTAAACGTTTGACCTCTTTCTTTTACAATTTTGGAATCGAAACGGGGAATCGATAAGAACCGGAATTGATAAGCAGAACCGGAATCGGAATCGGAATCGATAAATTTCAAACGATACCCATCCCTACTCATGTGTCGCGAGTGTTGTCAGGGGGCGGGGGAGCACGCTCATGAACCTCGCAACGGCTGCGGAGCTCATTTGCGCCACATTTGGGCCTAAAATGAGGTTTGAGTCTGCGTGATCTGCGTGATCTGCGTGTAGGGAGGGGCAGCAGCCATATCATTAGCTAGAACTAGCTAGATCTGATGGATTTGGACATAAACTCGAGTGAAGTATAACCGGACACGAGAGAGATAGATCAGCACCTGCAGCTCTGCCCGCTGTGGGACCGGTGAGCGGAGCAAAACACACCTTTAGACGTCACCTAACACATTTAGCTATGGCACAGTCATATATACATTGAATTATTCAATTTGATAATATGTAATCAACTTAGGCATCACTGCCACAAAATAATAATAATTCATAACTCATAATATGAGTTATGAATATATATATATATTTGTTGGTATTCGAATAATTATTCATGTATTCGAATAATATTCGAATACCTGAATAATTTCGAATATTCGATTAATCGTTCCCATCCCTATTGAATAGAGACAACTATTTTCTAACTGCCCTTTTGGAAGAATTCCTTCCTTTTGCTTTATGTTGCATTTTATTCCTGCTGCATTTTTTTACTCATAAATGATAGTGGTTTGAATTTCATTTTTGTTCAATCCTCTTTAATCTGGATCCAAACCTCTCTTTTCTAAAATGTGTTGTGGCGTTATAAAAACTGACTGTAGATCCTCCCCCAGCCGGTGATGTAGCAGGGGTCGTCGTGAGGAGCGACCTCTCCGCTCTCTGGCACACAGGAGGGCTGCACCTTGTTGTTCAGAACCACAGGGGAGGCCAGTTTGATCATGGCGATATCATTGCTAAACAACAAGAAAATCATGTTGAAAATAGAGGCATATCTTAAAGGAAGGCTCCAGTCATTAGATAGTTTTTCAAAACTTCAGTATTTAGTGAAACATTATGTTTAAACCATACCCTGAAGAAATCAGCAATATTCCCCGGTAAATAATGATTTAATCGCTCTTTTTTTATCAAAACCTGTATATTCCGTCAGGCAGCTGCCATTTTCAGTAGTCACATGATCCGAAAAACTAGGTCGTGACGTCATCTATGCGTTCACTTTGTAAACACACGACGAAAACATGGCGGAGTATTTGAGTTCGGACTCGTCAGCCGAGGAAGAAGTTTTAAAAAATAAGACTTACTTTGAATTATCACTATAGGTATTCATTCCATCCAAATACAACTGTAAAAAATAAATAAACATACTCTGTTATCCTCTTAGGCCCCACGGACCCGGTTCCGGGGCCGAAATCGGGTCATTTGCAGGAAACAACGTCTAAGGAACCTTAATATTTAATAAACTATGAATATTTTTTATCCATATAACAGGAAAAAAACTAATTTAACTGATCTTTTTCATTTTTTTCTTCAAAAAAACACACACAATGCTAACAGTGAGCCTCTGAATTAGCCCCGAGCGAAAAATGCTAACCTATTACTGCACCGAAAATCACTCCTAGCTCCATTATTACTTATCTTAGCTGCACATCCAACACATAGTTTATGATCGTAAAGACACAGAATCTAACGGTGCTCACCTCAACACTGAAAGATACAAACTCGCGACGTTATCAACAAAATGATGGATGAAAAAGAGCTCAAGAAAAGGGAAGAGGGTCAATGGACTTCAGAGTAAACCAGGAAAACATCATCATCGTTAGATGGTTTGACAACAAAGCTGCTACTCTCCTCTTATGTTGGCATTGAACCAACTGGAAGTGTGAAAAGGTGGGAACGAAAAACCAAGACACACATTATGGTTCCCAGACCAGCCATTGTTGAAGCATACAACAAGTTCATGGGAGGTGTTGACCTCCTTGATATGCTGTCTGCACTCTAAAAATTCAGCTTCAAATCCTGAAGATGGTACATGTACATTTGGTGGCACACTGTCACAGTGGCAGTTATCAATGCATGGAACCTCTACAGAAGAGACCAGAAGAAACTTGAGCCCAGGATAAAACCCATGGCCTTGCGAAGGTTTCAGGCTTCTGTTGGCACTTCCCTTACAAGTGCAGGAAAGGGAAAAATCAAGCGTGGCAGACCACTATCCTCTCCAGAACCGGACTCAACACCCCCCCGTAAAAGGCAACACTCCAGTGTGCCTGCTGATGTGAGAAAGGATGGCATTGATCATTCCCCAACATGGGAAACCCGACAGAGATGCAAGCACTGCACAGGCAATCATTTCACACATGTATACTGTGGGAAATGTAATGTCCATCTGTGCCTCAACAAGGAAATAAACTGCTTTTTGTCCTACCACAAGGCAAAATAGAGCTTGTAAAAGGGCTCCTGTTAAAAAAAAAAATGGAACAAAATCAGTTAATGTTTGACGGCCCCACCCACTCCAGGGTGCCTGCTTGTGTTTGTCTTAGCAGGTTCCTGGAGGTGGGCGGGGCTGTCGTCTAATACACTGGCACCTGGGCCAGTGTAGCTGGAATCCCCACAAGATCAAGGAGCGCAGTTCCCCCGCAATACCCCTTACGTTGTGGCACGCATCTCCCTTCTTTGTCGCAGCCTGTTGGTTCGGGTTGTATGTTCAAAATCTTCCAAATGTAATAATCAATATTTTTGTGTGAAAAGGAGACGTTGTTTTGTTCAATAAATTGCCATAAAGGCCTGACGTATCAAATATGATACAAAACCAAAATCATATATGTAAATAATTAACAAATATTTTGTTGTTGTATTTTGATAAAAGGTTCAATAAACACCTCAATTTAAAAAAAAAAAGGAATTTTCTGACTATTATTTGATGTGTCAGGCTTCACAGGGTTAATGCGGTAATTGCTGTTGGAAAAGACTTGGCGACGTGTACCCGAGCAGGTGTGTTCAGACAAGCCAAGACAAGACAACATACATTTCTAAATAGCTGAGTGTTAGAATCTCACACAGTGTTCTGTGGCCGTGCATGAGCACAATGTGTTTTTTGTTCACTGGTATTTCATTTATGAGGCTTGGTTCAGTCTTTTTCTCACGAAGTTTAGAGGATTGTATTGGTCCACTGTGAGGTAGATTAGGAGGCTTCCCCAGCTTTTGTTCAACTGGAAAGTGGCCAATATAAACACTGGGGTTGTCATATGCTTTAACTGTAAAGCCAACTGAGACAAATGTATCCTTTGTGATATTGGGCTACATCGATACAATTTGATTGATTGATTGATTGATTGATTGAGCTCGGATGGCCTATCCCTTTTTTAGTTTTCTTTCAATTTTGAGTACAGTTTCTTAGGTTAAAGGCCCTGACACACCTACCCGATTTTGGGAATCAGAGGCCGTCAGAGGCAGTCGGGCATTCACGGCGCCCTACTCAGGTTGGTGTGTCCCGCACCGTCGTTGCTTTACGGCACATTTTCACGACTCCCGCGTCCGATTCAACATGTTGAATCAACATGTTGAATCAACATGTTGAATCGGACGTAGCCGACGCAGGCGGCGTAGCGATGTAGCAGACGTAAAAGTCGGGACGCCTTCGGTACGCGTTCTTTGGTCTCAGGTTGGTGTGTAGCGGCCTTAAAAGCTAAAGCACTTTGTTTTCTCCTAATGAACTGTCTTTTGCGTCCTTTACACATTTTTGGTTTTCAGTGTCTCTAGTGTCACCTTTTTTGTTTAGAGAGGTCGTAACACATATGGATTGCCATGAAATAAAGTTCAAACATTCATGTAACCCACAGACTCAATTCCTTTGACTACTCCACTACGATTAGTTTTGTAGGTGAAAAGTCTCAACAATGTCCTATTGAATTGTAATATATTTGGTGACACTCTTTACAAAGAGTGCCGACAGCCGGTCAGAATAGTCCTTGCACCAATGGTTTAGTTTATAACTAAATTCCTGCAAAACAAACGATATTCCCATCAACCTTCTGGATTTGTGTTTAGTGCTTATTAGCCAATGTTAGCATTTGTACACACATAACTAAGAATATGAACTGTTAGGATCTGTCTGTGTTGGTGTTTTTCTTGTCTTTTTCTATCTTTGGGTTTCCTGTTTTATTTTGTAAAGTGTTCACCCCCGTTTCCTGCCTGTTTGCTTTCTGTCTGTTTCCCTCCCTGATTACCCGATTGTGTTCACCTGGTGCCTCTGTGTTTTCTCCTCCCTCCTCACCTGTCTCGTGTTTATGTGATTAGTCCTGGGTGTATTTAAGTTCTGGGTTTTCTGTCTCTCTTTGTCGGGTTGTCTTGTGTAATGACCAGTTCATCGGTGAGTGTTCCGTTCTGTCTCTGTTTGTTGTAGATTTGTAGCCTTGAAATAAAGGAGTTATTTTCGTTATATCTGCATTTAGGTCCTGATTCCTGCACACCGTAACATTACAACCCGACCAAAATATGGGCCCAGCAGATCCTTTTGAGCAGGAGCTATTGGACTTTTCCTTGGCTTTGGATGACTGCTCGTATCTATGGTTGGGAGCGTCCAGGGTTCAGCAGCGAGAGGCTGTTCTGGCAGAGGCACGCCGGATTACTATGGGGAAGCCAGGCTTGGTTAAATTCTTATCGGGCAGGATTTTGGATTTTCTCACGGTGTGTTATCCCCTGCCTGACAGTCCCAGGCCTCCCAACTCCCGTTTTGATACCACATGCATCGGTGTGGTCCGTCTGGCATCAGCCCCTGCTTCTCACCCAGTGTTTGCTACAGTCCAGGAGCCATTCGCTGGTACTCGTCTGGCCTTTGGAGGTCCACGGAGCCTCCAAACGGCTCCTAAAGGAAGGAGTCGCAAGGCCAGGTTGGCAGCACAAGCCCAAAGGGCCAGGGTTCCAGAACCAGTTCAGGCCCCAGCAGCCATGGTTACGGACCCAGTTCTGGCCCCAGCAGCCATGGTTCCGCGCTCCAGTACCATCCCACATAGCCATGGTACCGTGCTCCAGTACCACCCCACACAGCCATGGATCCGGCTCCAGAACCGGACCCAACAGCCATGCCTCCATACTCCGGTACCGGCCCACGCAGCTTTGAGTCCATACTGGATTACCTGGCTTGCCAGGGTCCAGGCTTTCACTCCGGACCCAACAGCCATGTTTCCGGCTTCAGAACTGGATCATACAGCCATGTTTCCGGCTTCAGAACTGGATCATACAGCCATGTTTCCGGCTTCAGAACTGGATCATACAGCCATGTTTCCGGCTTCAGAACTGGATCATACAGCCATGTTTCCGGCTTCAGAACCGGACCTTACAGCCAGGATTCTGGCTTCAATTCCGGCCCCAGTCCCGGCCCCAGCAACCTTGGTTCCAGACCCAGATCTGGCCCCAGCTGCCACAGTCCCATCTCAAGTCCCCTCTCCAGTTCCCCCTCGAGTTCCCTCCTCTAGTCCCTCCTCTAGTTCCCCTCTCTAGTTCCCCTCTCAAGTCTCCTCTCGAGTTTCCTTCTCTAGTCCCTCCTCTAGTCTCTCCTCTAGTCCCCTGTGTAGTCCCTTCCCTAGTCCCTCCTCTAGTCCCTTCCCTAGTCCCTCCTCAGGTCACTTTCCTAGTCCCTTCTCTAGTCCCTTCTCCAATCCCACCTCTAGTCACTTCTCTAGTCACATCTCCAGTACCAACTCTAGTCCCTTCTCTAGTCCCTACTCAAGTCCTTTCTCAAGTCACTTCCCTAGTCCCTTCTCCAGTCCCTCCTTTAGTTACCTCTCTAGTCCCTCCTCTGGTCCCTTCCCGAGCCCCTTCTCTAGTCCCACTTCGAGTCACTTCTCTAGTCCCACTTCGAGTCACTTCTCTAGTCCCATCTCGAGTCCCCTCTCCAGTTCCCTCTCAAGTCTCCTCTCGAGCTACCTCTCGAGTCCCATCTCGAGTCCCCTTTCGAGATCCCTCTCAAGTCACCTCTCGAGGTCCCTCTCAAGCACTCTCTCGAGTCTCCTCTCGAGTCCCCTCTCAAGCCCTCTCTCGAGTCTCCTCTCGAGTCCCTTCTCAAGTCCCCTCTCAAGTCTCTGTTCAAGTTCCCTCTCAAAATCCCTCTCAAGTCAACTCTCAAGTTTCCTCTCGAGTCCCCACTCAAGTCCCATGTCCTGTCCCGTTGGAGGTTCCGCTGGGGGTCCTGCCAGCTCTATGTCCTGTGCTGTAGGAGGCCCCGCCGACTACTCTCCTGCCGGGGGTCCTGCCAACCCTGTGTCCTGTCCCGTTGGGGGTCCCGCCGACTACTCTCCTGCCGGGGGTCCTGCCAACCCTATGTCCTGTCCCGTTGGAGGTTCCGCTGGGGGTCCTGCCAACTCTATGTCCTGTACCGTTGGAAGCCCCGCCGACTACTCTTCTGCCGGGGGTCCTGCCAACCCTATGTCCTGTCCCGTTGGGGGTCCCGCCGACTACTCTCCTGCCGGGGGGTCCTGCCAACCCTATGTCCTGTCCCGTTGGGGGTCCCGCCGACTACTCTTCTGCCGGGGGTCCTGCCAATCCCTTGTCCTCTCCCGTTGGGGGTCCCGCCGTCTACTCTCCTGCCGGGGGTCCTGCCAACCCTATGTCCTGTGCCGTTGGAGGTCCCGCAGACTGCTCTCTTGCCGGGGGTCCTGCTAACTCCATGTCCTGTGCCATTGGAGGTCCCGCAGACTGCTCTTCTGCCGGGGGTCTTGCCAACCCCATGTCCTGTGCCGTTGGAGGTCCCGTGGACTGCTCTTCTGCCGGGGGTCCTGCCAGCTCCAGGTCCTGTGCTGTTGGAGGTCCCGCAGGACTACTCTTCTGCCGGGGGTCCTGCCAACTCCATGGCTTGTCCCGTTGGAGGTCCCGCAGACTGCTCTTCTGCCGGGGGTCCTGCCAACCCCATGTCCTGTCCCGTTGGGGGTCCTGCCAACCCTATGTCCTGTCCCGTTGGAGTTCCCGCCGACTGCGCTCCTGCCGGGGGTCCTGCCAATCCTGTGTCCTGTCCCGTTGGGGGTCCCGCCGACTGCGCTTCTGCCGGGGGTCCTGCCAACCCTGTGTCCTGTGCCGTTGGAGGTCCCGCAGACTGCTCTTCTGCCGGGGGTCCTGCCAACCCCGTGTCCTGTGCCGTTGGAGGTCCCGCAGACTACTCTTCTGCCGGGGGTCCTGCCAACCCCATGTCCTGTGCCGTTGGAGGTCCCGCAGACTGCTCTCTTGCCGGGGGTCTTGCCAACCCCATGTCCTGTGCCGTTGGAGGTCCCGTGGACTGCGCTTCTGCCAGGGGTCCTGACAATCCTGTGTCCTGTCCTGTTGGAGGTCCCGCCGACTGCGCTCCTGCCGGGGGTCCTGCCAATCCTGTGTCCTGTCCCGTTGGGGGTCCCGCCGACTGCCCTCCTGCCGGGGGTCCTGCCAACTCCTGGTCCTCTTCCGTGGGGAATCTTGCCGACACCTGTCCCACCGGCTCCGGATCCTGTCCGGTCGACACCGGCTCCTGCCCGGCCTCCTGAGCTGTGCGGTCTTCGCCCTCGAGCCCGGCCCCCTGAGAGCCGCGGTCTTCTCCCTCGAGCCCGGCCCCCTGAGTGCCGCGGTCCTCGCCCTCGGGCCCGGCCCCCTGACTCTTCCTGCTGTTGCCTTCGCCCTCGGGCCCGGCCCCCTGACTCTTCCTGCCGCTGTCTTCGCCCCTCCATGGTCTCCACCTTGGACTCTGTCTTGCCCCCTGGGCCGTCCGCCCGAGTCCCCCTTTTTGGACTCTTTCTTGCCCCCGGGCCGTCCACCCGAGACCCCTTCCTGGTCCTCTGCCGTGCCCCTGGGCGGTCAGTTCAGTCCCGTCCTCCTGACCCCCTCCACCCACCCTGCTTGAGGTTTTGGACTTTTTTTTGTTTTGGGACGTCTGGGATCCGTCCCTTGAGGGGGGGTACTGTTAGGATCTGTCTGTGTTGGTGTTTTTCTTGTCTTTTTCTATCTTTGGGTTTCCTGTTTTATTTTGTAAAGTGTTCACCCCCGTTTCCTGCCTGTTTGCTTTCTGTCTGTTTCCCTCCCTGATTACCCGATTGTGTTCACCTGGTGCCTCTGTGTTTTCTCCTCCCTACTCACCTGTCTCGTGTTTATGTGATTAGTCCTGGGTGTATTTAAGTTCTGGGTTTTCTGTCTCTCTTTGTCGGGTTGTCTTGTGTAATGACCAGTTCATCGGTGAGTGTTCCGTTCTGTCTCTGTTTGTTGTAGATTTGTAGCCGAACAAACGAGACAGGCTTCATCCCTGCCCTGTGAGGATCTCCTGTGCTGACATCCATCACCTGCTGGAAGGGTTTCTCGGCTCCCTGAGAAAAGAAATGTGTGATATAACTGCAAGGAGGTTGTAAAAAACTTTTATTTCACCTTACACCTGTGACCTGCACTATAACAGTAATGCTCTTGCAATAGAGTAACCAAGTTTATCTTTAATCTTCTACATGTCATCCACTGGAGATAATTTGTACCCAGGACATGTTAGGACATGCCTAAGTGTTTTAGTATTATAATAATATAAAGTAAATGAGTAAAGCATGAAGTCATTGAGTGCATACAGTTTTTTTTAATTTTTAAACATTTTGTATTGTAATTAATAACTCAAATGTATGCATGTGATGAAGAGTGATGGGAAATAATAAGTCTTTGTAAAATACTGAAATAAAAGTCCCTAAAGAAGAAAACATTATCCTCACACAAAAGCAGGATTTACCGGTGTAGCTGTTTAAAGCAAGCTAAATAGATCATATTGCACTGCTGTTACTTACTTTTAGAGAACCATTTAAAAATACGATGCACTGTTACAAACTAAATTACCCAACTATAGGCCCATACAAAAATGACTTAACCACCAGCATCTATTTATAACGATAAAAATACTATAGACATGTTAATGCATCAGATAATACAATGTAATAATATAACACTGGAAGCAGGAACATGCAAAGAGAAAACACAAGGGGGACGAACACCTGCCCTTTTGCCTTCCTTGTATGTGTCCTGTTTTGAATTTACATTTTTTACAAATCAATACATTTCATTTTTGCCCTAACCCCAGTCACGAAGGGTGAACCACACTGAAGTGCCTTAGCCAATCGTCACACAGAGTTGTAAAAAGCCTTGTCTGCATCCTGAAGAGTCTGCTATCTTTTGATACTGGCCCAGTTTAAACTCTACTTGTGTATTATTTTATTATCACAGTTCCTCTCCTAACAGTATAGTGTGGAGCCATATGCTGTGCACAGTCTTGAGTGAATCAAAAATATTCTGTCAGGAGAATGGTGCCCATGCTCGGTTACCCGCCCTCCCTCTGGGCTATTGGTCACAGGGGCGGCCCTGAAGCCTTGGTGAAAGAACTAAACACAATACACATGCACTCTGCAGTCCTGACTGAGGCACTGATGATATGGTTTAAATATGTAGCCGCTTAAAATATGCTAAATAGCTTTGTTTAGTGATGATACCTCTGCTAGCAATGTGTGAGTCAGCTGTAAGGGAGGAAAGACAAGAGAAAGGAGGGAACAAAAAAGAAACACACACGTTTTTAAGGTGAGACACCCCAGGTGAATAGGGTAATGTTTTTAACTTAAAGGTATCAGCTAGAAATGTCTCCAGTTAATTACTTACAATAAGGCAATTGTCTTTTGTATTACAAGTTTCTGAAATAGCATGTTTAAATATGCAAATGATCCATTATCTCATTAAATATGCACGTATTTTAACACATTTCAGGAATCGAAATCTGAACTTTGGATAAAGCTAGGTTCAAAATTCTGGTTTAATTTTGAAGTCATATTAGTATCTAAGGCTTTTACAGAAGGGGTTTTGGATATCTCTTTTTATCACTCCATAAATCCGAAAATACTGTCAACCAACCCAGTCTCACGGCATTTCGTGTTCACCAACACGATTTTTAATCTATTGATTCGTGTTCACCAACACGATTTGCCCCTTTTTTTCGTGTTGCACAACACGATTTAAAAAGCAATGTATTTCTACTGCCTGCAGCACGTCTTTTTCTCCGGTCGGGTTGTGGGAGACCGGAAGCTGTGTGGTTCATAAAAACATGTTCTTACTCAATATCAAGCCACAATTATTGCTTTTATTTTAAATCGTATAATTTCGGACTTTTGTTGTCGTCTGTGAGGAAAACAAATGGGGCTCAGAGCCTCAG